AAGTAAATTTACATAAATTGCATCCTCTCTGCATGTCTTCACAAAGACAATTTAAGATTCATGAAACCGTACGGTAGTAACATTAATGTTTACATGCAATTCCTGTAGTTTTGTTAATCAAATTGCATCACTTTTAAATTAGAGGCATTAAGGCGTTAGTGTGCTTATTTATCCCCTCTGCACCGGTAACAGTGGAAAGAATGCACTAAAAATTTACCTCTTTAAGCTTCAGTGACCACAATTAAATCCACACTTTTTAACATCACTATTTAACAAACTAACAGTATGAAAAGTTAACATTTCTTCTTTTATAACCCACAACTAAACTTATTGATTTCAAAGACATTAACCAGTATTTCACTAGCCTATTGTGGCTAATTATCTTATTAACATATACACACTGTAGGCTTTACACTTTTAGCTTTACACAAAGAACACCTTTGCATTGATTCACACATTAACACAATTAACAGAAATGCTAGCGATCTCAGAGTAAACTCAGTAGGCTATGTTAAATACAAAAAAAATGGGCATCTAAAGCCTGGCCTGTTAGCATGAATATTAGCGAACTCCGATGCCTAGATAAACAACTCACCATTTTAACGGAATCCATTGCCTTTAGCTCCGTGACAACAGTGGATACAGGCACAGCTTTCGTTTACACTCTATATTACAACAAGGTATAATCAGCATAAGCAATAATGAACTTAATTTGCTCTATGTTTTTTGTCTTTCATCTTACCAAGCAGATAACGCAGCCTTCTATGCTCAAGTGCAAGCGCCAAAAGAACGTGCAGTGACGCGAAACTAGAGGTGTAACTGTAACAGAGCCTAGCGGGCAGCTGATTGGTCAGCTCACTATCTCACAGAGCTCACCCATTGGCTCACTTACATGTCCATCAAAGAGAAGAAATAAAAGTTAACCCTTTTGTGACTGGGTCAGACGGCTAAATAGTGTTTCTCATTATTAAGCCTGGCTACACTCTCCCCCCTTGAACTCATGTACGTCCCTGTACATGGCAATGGTTGAACTGTTTGTATCTCAGGGTACAGGACAGAAGGATACGCGTCGTCTTCACCCTCACTTAAAATGTCAGCCACAGCTGTAGTTAACCCCTGAAAAAATGATTTAACAACTGTGACAAAGGGGTTTCCGAGCTCAGTATAGTCAAGTCTCTTTGACGGCTGACGGTTTCTTTCTGATCTCCTGACTGTTTTATCCTTTGTTTCCTCATCTGGTTCTTTACTTCCACTACGACTCATCTCCTTTCCACTCTCTAACATGTCAGAGGACACTTGAAGCTGCTCGGTTTGGATGTCATCATCAAGTAAGTTTTGTTCCTCCACAGGGTTTTTACTGCCAGGTGAGTTATTTTCGGTCATAACAGTTTCCTCAACTTGTTCATCAAGCATGACTCTTTTGGTAAGCAGGTCCTCAGCGTCGTTGTGGTGACAGTTAGGATCATTAAGTGTGAGGGGACTATCTGAGGCACCATTGGACATGTCAGGTGGTTCGTTAATTTCAGCAGTGCAATCCACATTTTGAGCATTTACAGGACTCTCAACAGGACAATTTCTTGCAGGTTCAGTATGCTGTTTATCCTGCACAGTAGACATAGTTGGATCAGGCTGCACTAGACTGTCATGGATTGTGGGAAACTGAGCATTTGGGGGTTCTCTGAAACAGTAAACAGGAATGATTTCATCTTCATCATCTGAGAGTTGATTCTCATCCACAGTAGGATTTGCCCGGGTTGCTGGCCTGCGCCTTGCGGGCTGCTGGTCAGGCGCCTTGTTGACCTCTGTAGGCAAGTAACCACATGGAAGGAGTAAGTCCCTATGC